GTGGGGGCGTCCGGCCCTCATGGAGGGCTGGCCGGGCTTGGGGACTCCTGCCGCCCGCCTCCGTCACCGGCGCTGCGGCCCCCGCCGAAGCCCCCGGCCCGGGGAATCCCCTGGCCTGGGGCAGCGCCCCTCAGCCCACCGCGGCTCCGGTGCAGTGGGGCTCACCGAGAGGAGTCACCCCGAGCGGGAGGTCGGTGTTGGGTGATGCCGGTGTGCGCTGCCAGACGCAGCAGTTACTGCCCTAATCCTGACCGTGGACCCACCTAAGGAGGGCTGTGGTACACCCGAGGGAAGGCTCTCGGGGGAGAACACCACAAAGTGGCTGCCAGGCGCTCTTGATGCATCCCGTTGAAAACCTTCCCCTTTTCACCCCTGGCACAGTAAATTTTAGCCTTTTATGGCAAGATAAGATAAATACTTGGGTGTTAAGTGATCATACTGTATAAACAGCACTGCTTATATAAACTGATTTGATAATTGAGTTCATACAGAGCAGTCAGGTGCTAACATTGATAACTGTTTTTTTTCAGCAGCTCTCTTTGTAGCTGTGTTGTTACTGTGCTTAAAGGATGGAGCATCTAGTCTTTCCCAACTTTGTCATGTGTTGAGAAAAAGAAAATGTAATCATAGGATATTACCAGGTGAAGTCGCAGTAAGGAGAAGCTCTCTTGTTACTGTATTGCATCAGTGGCATCATCCATCTGATGGATGAAATCTTGCACAAATGTGCAGGAAAAATGAGTGCGATATTTAGCGGATATGCAAGAGGCCATTTAACTTGTTCAGGGTAGTAAAGGATCGCACTTTGGGGGCTGAGCTAAAGTGCGCCTGAAATGGTCAGTTTTATGTGTAAGTACTTTGAAGGGTGAGCACTAGGAAAAGGAATCTTTAAGCTGGCTTACAGTGACGGAGCTAAAGCAGTAACTGTATGCAAGCTGGCCTTGAATAAATGGGGTTGGAAGTTTTCTGCTTGGAATGGTTGGGGACTTTCAGTGGGAATAGTTTAGCATCTCTGCTCTTGAGATGAAACTCGATCAGTTTGTTAAAGGGTTTTTACAGTACTGCTTGTGTGAAATCATCAGGCTACTGTTTGCAGGATAGGATAAACCCCTCGGTAGTAGGAATACCAAAAGAGGAAGTAATTTCTGCCTCTCTGAGCCTTTGCCCATGTGTTGTGTGGGTTAGGTGTACACTGGACCTCTTCTGAGGTAATTTGGATCATTAACCTGGCAGAAAACTAAATGGGGAAAAAAAGTCCCACAAACCCCTAGTTGATCTGCTGATCAGCTGGTGAATTCAATGAGCTCTGGAAGAGTCTTGTGGGTACCACAGCTGATGGAAGAAGAGAGGAACAAAGTAGATGAGCCACATTCTTTTTTGGTGTGCTTGGATGTCGTTGGCTCAGTTTAGCCTCCTGAGAACTACCCTAGACCTTTGGTTTCTGTTATTTTATTGTGCTGCAGTAGCACTATTGCAAGATGGAGGGAGTGATTTTGTTGGTTGCCTGGTTTTGTTTGTAATTTCACAAGATATTTTTGAATCAGTTTAGCTACCTATTATTTCCTCACTGGTGATACAGGAAGGAGAGAGGTGACGTGTGTCTGCAGAGGAGAACTTTGGTGAACCAGACACAAGCATGTATTAACACATTAGTAGAAGTACTGTGGTATTGGTATGGTAGAAGATTCTTTTTGTTTGTGTTTAATGAACATCTAACTCATAAGCACATTTGGTTTTTCTTTTTAATGTTGGTGGAAATATTCGGGTATATCTTGGTGCCAGAAAGTCAAGACTGAGTTTTCAAATGGCAAAATCAGTTTAAATACTCTAGGAAATACCCCTTACTTTTCTTCTGAAAGAACATGATTTGTTGTCTTTGCCTCTTCTTGTTTGCTTTCTCTGAACAGCTATACTTGAAGTAATTTGAGCTTGTTGGGTGGAGTGTGGTTTAGGAGCAATATATCCGGGTATATCTTGTTAAGGTGATCATGTGATAAGAAGGAAACTGAGGAGTAGAAACCAGCTGACTGCAGCATTTATCACTGAAAAATGTAATAATAGTCTTGCCAAAGATTCTTCTTGAGAAATGCTTTTTGCTTAAGCTTTGAGAAGTATTTTTATGTGATGGTTGGAAGCTTTTAATGCACCGTTCTCACATTGCAGTCATTCAGGCTTGAGAGGGCAAAGAGAGGGAGAAAACAGCCAGGGTGTTAAGGAATGTATCAGCCCAATGCAATGCTGAAAAACCCAGGATGTCCCCTAAGCAATCCATGCTAGTACATGAACATTTCCATTTCCTTACCATTGTAGCTGCACTGGTTGACGCTTGCAATGGGAAGATGCCACTCAACTGATTTTAGTCCTACGAATCTCTGGTTTGTGACATATCTCTGTTTTATGCCATGGATTATCAGATTCAGGATATTCCATGAAGTTAACAAACCAACAGGTAGAAACAACCCAGTCACATGGAAATCCAAATCTACAGTGAATGCTGTTGTGTTGCATCTTTTGCATCAAGTCAAATATCTAGGAGAAATTTAATGGGTTTTTCTAACTGTTTTTAGGGCTTCTGTGTGATTTTTAACATAACCGGGCAGTCATGTTTCTTTTTGAGTCTATAAAAGTAATTTGGTAGCTACTAGCAGATGTAGTGAAGAGAGTATCACCAGACAGGGCATCTTTTAAGTATATTTGCATGCAGCTTAGTCTTTCATGTATATGTGAACAGCTGGGAAGAGCTGCTTAACAAAGATGAGATAGTTTTTGCCTTTCATTACTCTAAAAGAAATAATTGATTTGTAAGGCACAGCCAAAATACTTGAAACATATTTTAACGATAACCTAGGTGAGCTGATCAGTGTGAGAAAGAGACTTTATATGCTTATTTCTTTAGTAACCAATTATTGGATTTTGCCTTTTTTTCAGTCTTGGGTGAGGACTGTCAGGCATATATTGATCGTCATGGCAAGGCACAACCTGCAAAATCCTGTCCTGACTTCTGCTGTGGAGATTGCATGCTTCAATACTGTTGCTCAGATGTGTTCTTAAAATTTGGTGAAGAACAACAATTTCAGTGTAATCTGCTTGATGGAAGGTATGAGGCAAACAATGTATACAGCAGATTATAATTCTGTCATCAAATGACAAAATTACACAGTTTAATGGTTAAAGGGACCTTTAAGCTCTATATCTGGCTCTGTCAGGGATCTGTGTTAGTGTAATTTACCTGTAAAATGGGAACAATGAATGAGGTGGACAAATCAATGCATGAACTAGTGTGTTTTCTTGAGCATTTTCAAATCCTTTTACCCTATTTAATTATTCTTTTGAGGATGACAAAATTAATCTCTCTTCTTACTGTACATTACCTTTCATAGACATTTGGAATTTAGGTACTTGAATAAGTCATAAATTCCATTTTTGAGATGAATTCTCTTACTACAGGACGTCTTACTCAAGCAACATAAATTACATGCAGTTTTTTTCGGACCCTGATGATGACTTTTCTTCTGGCCCCAGGTAAGCCATGCAAAATCTCAGCTTTTAAAATGGTATTTATTTAGAGGTTCTTTGTTGTGTGACCAGTGCGTGCCGACGGAATGTGAAAACATATTTGTGTGTGAAGAACGTGAAGCACTCGATCTCTGTGTACATGTCAGAACACCTGGAGATGTGGAGACATGAGGAAGAGGTTAGATCCTGTCGTTTAGACCCTGACAGTCATAGCTGGGATTCTTCTCTCCGGAGGGGAGGTTGTCCTCTGAAGCCTTAGCGCAGTGCTTGCTCTAGGCCCTTCCACGCTGACAGGTTAACTCCACAGTGGCTCGGTACAACAAGCTGCTTCTGTCTGGGGTACTTCCTGTCTTTTTAGCATCTTTTGCACGTAGTTTTCATCAATATTTCTTGCCCTGTTTCAATCTCGGGCAAAACAATTTTTTTTAAGTCATTGCCATACTGGTGATCACCCGAGCCCTGCTGCACAACGCCGCTGTCTCTCCCAGCGCGGGGAGGACGAGGGTGAATTCCGCCCCAGGCGGAGCCGCGGCGCGCCCCGCCCGCCCCCGCGGAAGGTGCGCGGGGCCCCGCGGCCGT